CCAGTCAGCCTTGGGTTAAGCAGATCACGTTTCAGAGCAAAAGGGCACGATCTCCCACGGTGGTTCTGATGTTAAAAGGGAGAACTTCCACTCTTAGGCCTGACAGCCTATTTTGTAGTCCCCCAGCAGGGGGTGTCTCTGAAGCCAAGGACCAATGCCTCATTTGGGGAGGGATGGTCTGGGCAGAGACCCAAACTAGAACCAAAATCTCTCTTAGCTCATATTTTGGCTCATAACTTTTCCTAGGCACAAGTAACATTCCACCCGCGGGTAGATTAATATGCAGATGCATCTGAGGAACGGTTACATATGAAATATGACATACATACTTGAAGGGTTCAAGAGATGTAATTTTCTGATTTCCTAGGTATTCCAGTCAGGGAGTGTGACCTATCAAACGATTTGTCTGATCGTGGGCAATCTGAAGATACTGTATGCCTGGTTTTTGTGTAAGTCTCTCATATTCCAAGATATGAGACATAGGGGAAAAATGGATTTTAAAAGTGTTATCTAGTTCCTTACTCCTCTGGAATGTCTTTGAACTCAGGGGAAGGCTTGGGTTATCTTTTTGCGAGGTGCCAGATTGCTCAGCTTCCCAGCCAGCCCGGCACCCAGCTCCGAGATGGTTTATAGCTCGGAGCTACCTGCTGTGCCCTGGCTGGCCTGTGACACTTCGAACACACACACACACTGACCAAATGTCACTGTGACTCTCAGAGAGGGAGGGGGAGAATGACCGGAGATATGTTTGTACAAGATGGATGATCCTTTGCCAAGATGGAGGTTGGAGCCAAAATGGTTGAACCGCGTCCATCTCTGTGGGCATGATTGCTACATGAGGCACAATCCCTTTCAATGACACAAAAAAATGGGGCACTGTTTTTTCCAACAGATGTCAGGACCTTTTCTATTCCCAATGGCCACAGTCCGGCCCTGCATTAAGGTAAAAACCTTTTGAGTTTAGAACCACTTTAAAACTTACAGTATATTTCCAGGCAAAAAATTTTTTTTCTACATTTGGGATAGAGTGGGGATTTTACTGCTATCTGGGACACCATTAAAAAGATTTGCCCTCATTTCCTGTCCTGTTGACAACATTTTACCAAAGAGAAATTAAGGGCAATTCTACAACAGCAACACAGCAAAAATATATACTGTGCTTTTTGAATTAGAGCAGGGAAAGGCTAGAACCCCTGTCAGGTATCTATTTATGTCTGTGTCCCTGTTGGAGATATTCATGGTGAAAGCATGGTCAGCAGGACAAGACATCAGAATAAATATCTCAAACAGAACCCCCTATAGTAGCAAAAGCCTTTCCTTCTCTTTCCAAAACTAGAAAAAAAGTTGAATTTTTGGCATCACATACATTTTAGCCTGGTCATACACTATACAATCTTTGAATAATAGCTTTAGAGTTACAAAAACTATGAGGACACACCTAAACAGTCTTTTCAATCTGTATCAAATTAGGCATACTATTGCCCTATATAGTTGAGGGTGAATCAAAAGAAGATTATACAACCAGATTGTACATCAATCAGCCATAACATTATGACCACTGACAGGTAAAGTGAATAACATTGATTATCTTGTGACAACAGCACTTAAAAGTGTGAGGAACACGCAGAAAGTGAACATGTTGTTCCTAAAGTTGATATGTTGAAAGCAGAAAAAATGGGCAAGTGTAAGGATTTGAGTGACTTTGACATGGGCTAAATTGTAATGACTAGATGACTGGGTAAGAGCAACCTTAAGTCCTCATGTACACTTGACATTTTTACAGCTGCTGTTTTTGGCTTTTGACGTTTTTTTTTCTATGGCTAGTAAACCCCCCAGCATGTTATCCTATGTGTCCATGCACACATAGAATGTAATCAATGTTTTTTTTAGCTGTAAAAACGCTAGCCAAACACTGCAAAAGCGGCAAAACACAATAAAACGTCGCAAACCGGTGTTTGTGGACTTTTTTTATCCCCCACAATTTTTTAGGGGTCAAAAAAATGCTAAAAACCATGAACGCAGAAAAAAAACACAGCAAAACGCATCTAAATGCGAGTGCAAAAACGCTAAAAAAAGCGGAATAATGTTACCAGTGTTATCAAAACGTCCAGTGTGCATGAGGACTTAAATTGCAGCTCTTGTGGGATGCTCCCAGTCTGCAGTGGCTAGGACCTACCAAAAGTTGCTCAAGGACAACAAGGCCATGGGTGGCAAAGGCTCATTTGCATATGGGAAGAAAAGGCTGGCTCGTGTAGTCCGATCCAATAGAAGAGCTACTGTAGCTCAAACTGCTGGAAAAGTTAGTTCTGGTTCCAATAGAAAGATGTCAGAACACACAGTGCATTGCAGCTTGTTGTGTATGGGGCTGTGCAGCTGCAGACCAGTCAAGGTGCCCATGCTGACATGAGTCCACAACCAAAGTGAACATCAGAACAAAACCAGGGGGCAATGGAAGAAGGTGTCCTAGTCTGATGAATCACGTTTTCTTTTACTTCATGTGTATAACCCAGGTGCATGTGCATCACTTACCTGGGGAAGAGATGGCACCAGGATGCACTATGGGAAGAAAGCAAGTTAAAAGAGGCAGATTCCACACCATACCATCAGAGGTCTATTGTTGTCCATGCCGTGACAGGTCAGGGCTGCTTTGGTGGCAAAAGTGGGATCTACTCAATATTCAGTGAGTTCTTTGATTTAAATTTTTTTTTTTTAGATTGAGGGTGCTGTGAGGACCTCCCACAGTTCGAAGTTCTCCCAAAATTCAAGCTGTTTATGGAAGGCTTTAGCCCCACCCTTACCTTAAAGTGTTACTAAACCCAGGACCCTGCATCCACTCTATCTGGTCTCCCACAGTACACAGAACATGGAAATGCGTTTTTTTTTAGTAAATATAAACTGCTAAATACCTTTTCTCATAAGCAGTTAGAGCAGTCTTGTGACTTCTATCAGTGCCCAGCCCAGCACTAGCTAAAGCTTTTCTTTCTGCTCCAGGAGGATGCAAAACCCCAGACCTCTGTCTGACCAGTGCGGATTGGTCCTGTTCTGATCACATGCATTCTCCAAAGAAAAAAAAAACCTCTTTAACCAGTGCTCTGCTGAACACTGATAGAAGTCACAAGACTGCCATATACTGCTGATGACAAAAGATATTTAGCAGTTTATATTTACTAAAATAATTGCATTTCCATGTTGTGTGTACTGTGGGAGACCAAATAGAGTGATTGCAGGGTCCTGGGTTTAGTAACACTTTAAGGGAAGATTGTTAAAATAAATGGTCTGTCTACAATCTCTTTACCCTAAAACCTAACCCCCCTCCCTAAATTATGACCCTAACCCAGTCAATAACCTAAAGCCTTTAGATTCATGCTTACCTTGCATACACTAAAGGTATTGAGCCATCCTATTTAAAGATTGAGTCCCTGCTCTGAGACCTCAACACCAAATAGCTGATTCAATCAATAACATGTTGACTTTTTCTCTAGACCATATGACAGTTTTGATTTATGGACATATGAAATATTATAAAATATATTTAATTGAGGGTGACTAATTTCCTTCTTCTGAGGGAACAATGACTAAAATGAGACAGTCAGATCAGTGAATGCTAAATTCCTGCCAGGCGTTTATGCACGATGACCAACAAATTCTCTAACCAAGGACTAACGGCATATGTGAGAGTGCATTCACAATATAATGACTATCTGAACTGAAAAATAAAAAAGGCCACAGATTACTTAAAATGATTTTGTCACTAGATTTAAAAAAAAATGTTAAATAGACCTACCTGTAAAGAAAAGATTTAATACTTACCTGTCCGACCACTGAACTTTACTCTCTCTCAGAGCTAAGTGTGCTGCATGCTGTGGTTGTGTCTGGTGGCCCGCATGTCACCACTGTGTTTTATGGTAATGTAGGGGGCACAAGATGGAAGCACAGCATGCAGTGGGGAACCAACCAGCTGACACTCCCAGAAGCAAACATTTCCTTAGTAAGCTAAGTTCTTCTGCACCCAAGCCACATGTCTTAATGTGATTGGACAAGCACATACAAGGACTTTTTTAATTTCGCAAACTCACTTTAATTTAACCCTGTCACAAAATGAAAATCATGAAAACATACATAAACACATTACTTTTAGGCTAGGTTCATACCTAAGTGTTTTCTGTTATGCAGAAATGCACTACAGTTCATTTAACATGATTTCCTATGGATGAAGTTCACATCTCCGTATTTTCAACCAGTCGATTTTTAGAAAGGGTCAGGGACTTTTTTTAAATGCAAAACAGTGCGTTTTTTTTCAACAGGTTTACTGCTTTTTGCAGAAATGCACTACAGTCCATATAGTTCACATCCATGCTTTTTTGAGCTACTGCATTTTTGGAAAGGGTCAGGAGGTGTGCATTTTATTTTCAATAGACTTCAGTGGAGACGTTGCAGAAATGCATGTAGTACATTTTGGATGCATTTTTAACCTCCCTAGCGGTCTGATTATGTCCATATTTCTGTGCTCAAAGCGGTACATTTTTTTGCATGGAAATATGTATTTTTTTTATTGTAGGCGTGTCATTTTTAGAAATAACTCACTGAAATCTGTCCGAAAAAGAGTCTAGTAAACATCCCGGGTATGTTAAAATTTGAAACACGAAATCATAAATTATAATTTAATAAATAATCATAAAAAATAATAATATAATAATAAAAGTTAATTCAATAATATAATCAAACCAAAAACACTGAAATTTGAAATATAGCGCCAAGTTTGCACGTCACTGGGCAAAGTCCCAAAATCGTTTTCAGTGTCTGATGACAAATTTCCCCACAAATCATTATCACTCAATTCTGCATGTAGTTCTAATTTACTATCACTGTTCTCTAGCCGGTCTAAAAACCGCTTTTGACCTAATGGAACGCTTTTTGGATGCCATGGACTTTTCTCAGTTTCCAGGCAGAAAGAACAGTAAAAATGCAGGCAGGGCACAGGAAAAAGCACTAGGGACAAAATGTATGTGAAATTGTTTGATACAGTAATGTTTTACTATGTGATTTTAGTGTATTTAGTGAATGTCCCTTTTTGTCATTTTCAAATTTCCCACCGTTCCGTCCCCCATACATTCCGACGTTCGCAGGGGACGGAACCCAGAAGACAGATACCGGCATCCGCCGGAGGACATTGCCGGGGACACTGCAGGAGGGACATCGCGGGAGCGCAGGACAAGGTAAGTGAAGAACAGATCCCGGAGCAGCGCCGCATGGTAAGCCCGAGTTTAGCTCGGGGTTACCGCTTTTGGTACTGAAACTTTACCCCGAGCTACACTCGGGAATACTGCCAGGGAGGTTAATCTGCTTAGAAACAAGTTGGCCAAAAAAACCCATAAAAACGCAAAACACCACAAAAAAGGCATCAAAAAGGCATCAAAAACACATGTATAAAAATGCAAACTGCACCACCAAAAGCACTGCAGAAACAGATCAAACACAAAGTGTATAGGTGTGAACCAGGCCTAAGGCTAGTTTGCATTTTCTCTGTTTTGCAGTGCTTTTTGCAGTGCGTTTTGCGTATGTTCATGTACGCGTTTGATGCTTTTTGGGGGGGGGGGCAACTTGTTGCTGGGCAGATTAAAAATGCAAAATGCTAAATGCGTCCAAAACACATCAAAAATGTGTCAAACACACTACATGCATTTTCTGTAGTGTCTCCATTGGAGTCTATTGAATCAAAAATGCAACATTTTGCATTTAAAAAAGCTCCTGGCCCTTTCTAAAAATGCAGTGGCTCAAAAAAAGCGTAGGTGTGAACTGTATGAACTACAGTGTGCTTCTGCAAAAAGCACTAGAAAAAAACCGCACTGGTGTGAACCAGGCCCTAGTGAAAACTGCAGCAGATCAGAAGATCCAGGGGCAGCTAGAGCTATATATACATTTCAACATTTTCTTCAGAGGTTAAGGTGTATCTAAACCCTACTAAAGTCAATGGGAGACGAATGTTCAAAAAACAGTATAGGCCATTTTCTAGGTTAAAAAGGGATTGTCAAACAAATGGCATGGAGGGATGGATATTGCCCTGCAGACATGTACTAAAGCAAAGAGAAAGTTTTAAAAATTCGGATTGATGGGCAGCAGCAGTTTTTACTAAGTGAAGTGGCATAAAACCTACTGCAGCAAAACTGATATTTACAAATAAATAAAAACTAAATTTCAAACCTTATATCACCTCATATGACATCCTGTCAGAAGGCACTGCTCACATGGCCATGGGGCTGTACAGCAGCGCAATCTGTCACTGGATGTGTCCACTGGACACCGGGCACAGCCGATGACAGATCCCTACACTGCCTCGCTGCCAGTGTCATGTGATCGCTGTGATCAATCACAGCAGATCACATGACAATTGTATACAATGGATGGCTTCCTTTCATGCCATCCATTGTATACAATTGTATTGTTAGCTGTGATTGGTCACAGCAGTCATATGGTATATACAGGGCCAATCACAGCCCAGTTGTACCATGTGATGAGGTTTGGCCAATCACAGCTAATCACAACAAAAGACACTGAATGAATCAGTTTAATTCAGTAAAAATGGTTACTAATATCAATGAAATACAGTAAGACCCCGACTTACGTATGAGTTCCGTTTCAGGAGAATGTTCCTAAATTGGATTCGTTCATAAGTCTGACAAAGTGGGGTAGATTTACTAAAACTGGTTCACTCAGAATCTAGTGCAGTTTTGCATGGTAGCCAATCAGCTTCTAACCTCAGCTTGTTCAGTTAAGCTTTGGCAATAAAACCTGGAAGCTGATTGGTTTCTATGCAGAAATGCATCTAATTTTGTACTCTCCAGCTTTAGAAAATAAACTCCAGTGAGTCTTATACACCTTTGACACAGATATACAATGTAAAGCATTAAAAAACAAACACACACAAAAATGTTTATAGTTTCCTTAAAATGGTGGTACCATACAACTGTAAATAAACAATTTTTACTTTAACTGCTTCCCAACCCCCTGTATCAGAAATACTGCTACAGGGAGGCAGAGGTGCGCAAAATCACATATATATATATGTGATTTTGTATTTCCCGGTAGGGGGCACACATGCACAGCACAGCCATCCAAAGCAGTGTGCTTACAGTGAAGTACACAGACACTGCCCTACAGTAAAACACACCCAGCACACAGTTAACCCTTTGATTGGATTCGCCACTCATGTTTAACCCCTTCCTGCCCAGTGCCATTAGTACAGTGTCAGTGTTTTTTTTTTAGCACTGACCACTGTATTGGTGTCACTGGGGATGTAATTTTTTTTTTATAGTGCAAAAAATAAAAAACGCACAGGCTACCAAATACCAATGAAAGAAAACTCAATTCATGGGAAAAAAAACAGGATGTAAAATTTCATTTGGGTGCTGCATTGCATGACCGTGCAAATGTCAGGTCAAGTAACCCAGCGCCGTAACGCAAACAATGAACTGGTCAGGAAGGGGGATACATCCTCAGGAGGGCAAGTGGTTAACTGTTACCTTAAAATGATGGTACAGTACAACTGTAAATAATTTTTGCTTTTACAGTTACCTTAAAATGGTGGTACAGTACTACAACTGGCATATAGTGGAAGAGGGTTACTAACTGGAGGAGGGAGGGTAGGTGGGAGATGGTGGAGCTGAAGGATCATCAGCAATAGGAGATGGAGGGCAAGATGGAATTTGGCCCACACCTGATGTTGACAGAGCTGAAGGATCATCAGCAATAGGAGATGGAGGGCAAGATGGAATTTGGCCCACACCTGATGTTGACAGAGCTGAAGGATCATCAGCAATAGGAGATGGAGGGCAAGATGGAATTTGGCCCACACCTGATGTTGATTACACAGGTTTTTTGATGGATTCAATTCTGTCAATCCTCTGAAAAAAATTATCCAGTGATGTCTGAGTAGTAGCTCTTTTTTCTCATTATAGATGACTCTGTAGCACTGGATGGCATTCTGAATGGCTGCTGCAACCTTTATGTATCGTTCTACGTTGGAGTCCTGTGCCACAAAAACAGTGCCTCTTCAAGTAAAGAAAATCCCCTTGCCATTTCCTGTGTTGTGAATCTCTTTGGTTCTTCAGTTGCATCTTCCTCTTGGCTCTCTCCGTCTTTTCGCTGGGCCTCTAATTCCATCAGGTCCTCGTTAGTAAGCTTCTCATGTTGCACAGCAAGGAGTTCAATGAAGTTGTCCTCTTGCAGATCAAACTCCAGTTTCATGCTAAGGGTCACTGAGTTGCTGAAGACCTCTTTGGACTCCTTACCCATCTTCTCAAGTTCATGAACTTCATGAACAAACTGCAGGCAAAGGTTCTTCCAAACCCCAGCCGAAACCTCACGCCAAGCAAAGTTGATGTCTTTTATGGCCTTGTAGATATTATAGTCCTTCAAAAATTGTCGCAAGGTTGTTCCTGTTTACTCAATAGCCTTCACTGCCTGACAAAAAGTGTGACATAAATAATATTTCTAGAAAGTTGCAATAACTCCTTGGTCCATAGGTTGGATGAGCGCCGTAGTATTCAGTGGCAGATGCACTACTTTGATGTAGGAATGAAAGTCATCCATGAATTGAGGGTGACCTGGTGTATTGTCAAGCAGCAAAAGAATGTTGAATGGGATATCTTTCTCCAAACAATATTTCTTTATCTCTGGGATAAAGTGGTGGAAATAACAGTCCTTGAAAATGGCCTGTGTAATCCAGGCTTTGGAATTACTCTTCCAGATAACAGGTAGAGAGCCCTTGGCTATGTTTTTGAGGGATCTTGGGTTCTCTGAATGGTAAACTAAGAGAGGCTTTAGATTTATATAACCGGAAACATTGCCACCAAACAATAGAGTAAGTCTGTCCTTTGCTGCTTTGAAGCCTTTTTCTTTACTGATGTAACTTCGTTCTGTCCACCTCTTCCAGTACAGTCCTGTCTCATCGACACTAAAAACCTGTGGGGGTAAATAAGCAGCTTCGTCAATAATTTCTCAAAGTGTTGCTGGAAATTTTTGGGCAGCTATGGTATCAGCACTCGCAGCCTCATCACTTACTTTTACGTTGTGAAGGTTGGCTCTAGCCTTGAATCTGTTAAACCATCCAAGGCTGGCAGTAAAAGATGCACACTGTTCACCCCATTTTTTCTTCAAGTCTTCAAACAGGATTTTAGCTTTTTCTTGAATAAGCATTAAGCTGAGTGGGACTCTACGCAGATGCTGATCCTGCATCCACACATTGAGAAGTTTCTCCATCTCCTCTATCACTTTACTATGTTTTTTGGATATTATTGTTGACTTCATAGGCACAGCAGACTTCACATGTTTTATGACCTTGGCCTTGTTCTTTAGAATTGTGCCAATGGTTGAACGATTCATGTTATAAGAACGAGCGATATCTACCATCTTTTCGCCTCGATCCAATTTCTCAATTATCAGTCTTCTCCACATCACCACTGCTTTTCCTCTTGCTTCCGGACATCCTGGACTCTGTACAGTACACTATCGCACTGTATAGTAAGCACACAGCAGCACAACTGTGACAATGTCCAGCAGACACGTGACCTGCTTCCGCGATTTGTTCGCATCTACGAAGGTTTGCAATGTGAGGTCCATTCATATCTGTGAAAGTTTGCTATTCGAATGTTCATAAGTTGAGGACTTACTGCACATAAGCAATCATGGTATGGTATAAGCAATCATAATGTGAAAAAAAAAAAAAATATTGATCACTTGCCTAGAGTGGTAAAATATTATTTTTTTTACATACTGTCACCAGTCAGTGTCCCTGATCACCCCCACACCAGTTATATGATAATGCTGTACTGGACTGGTGACTATATGTAAATTGTGATTTTTTTTTTTTTCAATTTGTTCATTTTCCAAACATTTGTGTCAAAAAATTACAACTTCAAAAAAATATCCATGCCTCTTACTAAATACCTTGGACTATTTTCCAAAAATGGGTCATTTGGTGGGTATTTGTACTATTTTGGCGTTTTCGGGCCTCAAGAAATGAAATTGGCCGTCAGTACATCAGGATTGATCAATTGTCAGATATTTTTCTACAGACTAAATAATATACACTAATTTGACTTATTTTCATCAAAAGAAATGTAGCAGAATATATTTTGACCTAAATTTATGAAGAAAAAAATTTTTATAAGAGAAACAAAGAAAAAACACTTTTTTAAACATTTTTTTTTTTTGTTTATTTAGCAAAAAATAAAAAAACTCAGTGGTGATTAAATACCCCCAAAAGAAATCTCTATTTGTGTTAAAAAAAAGTGAGAAAAATATCACACAACTTCACCTATACACCTATAGGTTGTTTGAAAGG